AGTATCATCGGCACAGTATTCGTCACGGTTATTGTAAATTGTCATCAGCAAGCTGTTCAACCGTCCCTGGCACGGTTCCTCGATTGCGCGTAATAATCTGTCATGAGAAGATCCCCCGTTACCTCTATTTCTTGTTTTACAATTTCGTACGACATTCTGTAATATTATTTCACGGTGTTTCGCAAAGGAATAAACCGAGGAAAATTGTCTTTCACCGCATTTCGAGATGTAAACTGTCGTCTAGATAATTCCATTATTGTTTCTTTTATTTAATTCTACAATTTCTGGTCATCATCTTAATCATCTTTAATATTCTTCTATTAAAAAATTTTATCAATTATTCAACTTCCTCTCTCTTTTCAAAATTCATTTATTATTATTACTTATTATTATAATCATTTATTGTTGTTCTTTATAACAAATCTAACAATCCCAATACACAAAATGAAATAAAAATCAATAAAAATAATTTGATTCAAAACAAATTAAGAAGTAATGAATAAAATATTTATAAAAGTTATCAACAGTTATCTTTGAGATGATTGAAGTAATTGAATATAAATAAATATAAAAAATAACTTAAAAATTACTTCTTAAAAATATTAATTTTGAAACTTTTTTTCCATATATAATTTTCAGTAAGAGATAAGATATATACATAATCGTTCACTAAAATTAAATATTTGATTTATAATATAGTGTTAAAAAGTGAAATCTTTGTATAACAATTCATGATGATTAATTATATCTAAATTACACATTATCGATGTTTTTAAATACAGATAACACAGTTCGCGAAAAGAAAAGAAAGAAAGAAAAAAAAAGAAAAAAATTCCATATGATTTCTTACGCGTAACAATCGTCACCGTTATTGTCACCGATTCGATTATTCGATTATGATCGATTCGAAGGAACAACGTCGCGGCTATCATCACGATAACACATCGTTGCATTTTCAATAGGGTCATTCGGATTATCGCGAATCATTAGCCAATACGAATCATACGATTCTTTCGTATATAATTTTCTCTTTTTAAATTAAATATAGTTTTTCCTTTCTTATCCTGCATTTTTATCTACCAATTCGTATTTACGTAATGGCATATAATTTCGTTCAGTTCACGAGGTTGAACGTGATTCAGATTTAAAAAAAAAAAAAAATTCTTGGCGAACGAAATTTCTTTCCATTGGAATGTTCGTGATAAGAAAGATCGAAGAATATTTTTGGTAAATAAATTTGGAAAGACAAATAAGAAAAAAATTTGATAAGATACATTTAAAAGAGACTTACTTATTTTTCTGTTCGCGTTATTTTTTCACTCTTTTTCTTTTAACTGGATTATAATTTCAAATCAAGAAGAGGAAATTTATGCAAATTTTTTCCCCCTTTTATTCTCGAACGAGTAATTATAAAGAGGCATGTGAAATTAATTTCTCCGATCATTGAAATTTTTTCCTTGTTATTATTAGACTATCAAAGTTTCATTACTTTCGTGCAATCGAATTGCAACACGTTTGTACACCATTTACGTCATTTTCTTTATCAGTTAAGAAACAGGCTTATCATTCCAAGAAAGCAGCTATATGGTAATCTTTTTTAAATGAATGTAAATGATTATAATCCGTATCTCTTTTTCGCGTATCGTGCGATTGTTGATTTCGAAATATTAATTGGACTGTAATTTCCAATTCAATGTCCAAAGTCCAACAACTCTGAGCTCCTCTTCGATCCTCGAATTAATAATAATTGTCAAAATTCCTCCAAGTTGTTAACTTGGAACTTTGACAAAATTAATATAAAAACTTCGTTCTTTAATAATTTGATACGAGGAACCGATAAATGCCACGATTCCACGAAATATTAAGTATTAAATTAATCATCGTGAAGGAATCGCGATTTCATTAATTTTTAGAATATTTTTTTCTACAGATTATCGCATCGAATTTATTTTACTTATTTATATTCACGAAGTAGTTGTTATCTTTATAATTTATATCACCATCAACGTTCAATAATTCTCTGCTCAAGCTTCCGCGGAATATTAATTAAATTAAGCAGAAATCGTAGAGGTTGATTTCCTCTTCGATCGGCCATCACGTTACAATACGTTGAACATTATTCGATACAAGAAGAGAAACCTTTTTTTTTTTTCCACAGCGATTATACACCTTTACAGAGACGATAATCGCTATAATTCCGTTACGTGAGTAACGTTTCACTGTAGCATGCATTCGATTTCGCCGATTGTCGCGATTTCGTTTTAGAAATGAAGCGTCTCGCGCCGGGCGGAACACGGTCGCCCGTTCCCTTTCGAAATTCACCCGCTGATATTCAGCGATTAGAAAGTTCGGAAAAACGAGCGGAGCGGCCGTTAATAATGGCCAACGTTTCGCAAAACGGTGGAGATAGTTGTAATCGATCATAAGGCACGATCATCCTTGAGCCTCGATTCTTTTACGTGCATTCTATTACGCTTTGCTGATTGTTTGCGTCAGTTTATGAATATATATTGCATTCATTAAAAGAGGGAATGAAGAAAAATACTCGAAGGTCGTTGAAGGAAACGTTGATTAAACTGACGGATTCAGAGAGGATAGAGTTTTTTTTTTTTTTTTTTTTTTTTTTTTGTGGAAATTCATCGACGATGATATTTGCATTAACGTATACGCTTCACAATATACGCTTTGATTGATGATAAATTGTATAAATTTATTATTCATGTGGATCGAAAGATATACATTGCGAAAATTATAAAAAATGTAAATCAGGAATGGAAGCTAATTTGATTTGATTCTTCAGGTTTCTTCGGGTGACGTGAATTTCCCGTGATACTTGAAAGCAGGAAAATAGAGAAAGGAGAGAGAAGAGGGAAAAATTCTTGAAAGAAATCTTGAGAAAAGATTCGTGTTAAAGAAATATCTCTTTGCAAACACTTTTTCCTTGAAATAATTTCTTCATTCTGTTTCCACAGTGAGTCGATAGTATTCCCAGGTTACGATACGATGTGGGAAATCGAGGAGGATCGGATTAATCGAAAGGCAAAATTCCGAGTAGGGGATGATCGATGAACAAAGATTGTCGAAATGATAGATAGAAATAAATGTACGCGACCTTCACCTTCTGGCGAGAGATCAGGGTTAGAAAGCCCATCGACCAACGGCGATACATACGTGTCAGTTCACGAGAGAACGTCTTCGAGCAAATTCGATGCAAATCAGTTAAACTTAGACTTTAAACGGATGTTAATAAACACATAAATGGAATTTAAATGGAATCGTGCGTCAATCATGAAACAATGAACGACCTCGGTTGTGCAATTAATTTTTCTATCGCACGTGGAAGAATATTTTAAAACCAATTTAAAAAAGAGAAGCGCGTGCTCCGAAATCTGTGGAAAATTATTATACACAAAGACGAAAAAAAAATTATCCTATAAGAAATATTCTTCGAATCGAAGATTTATATATTTTCATTTCTCTTTCCCACGGAATTTTTTCGTGTTCTTCAATTACAAACAAGATATCGTTTATGGTCAAACCTTATGATGTCTTTGTAGTAGACATCCTTAACCCTTTTACAGAGAGATAAGCAGTCAGAAATAGTTTTACGAACATTATATTTTAAATGTTACGACTACCACAACTATTAAAATTTATTGGCAATAAAATATTGAAAGTATGTTACTCTCAGTGTCGGACACGTTGGAATATTACGAAAATCTTAATGATAAGAGAATAATTATTTTCTAAGTTATTATTTTTACAATTCTTCGTTTTATTTTATTACACCGCCAAAGTATTAAGACATCAAGGCATAAAATTGTCATTTTTTAAAACTCTAACCTAAGAAAAATTTATTATCGCGTCCTTCGGAATCGTTTTTCGAACAAAAGTTTAGAAGAAGAAGAAGAAAAAAAAAAAATCAATGACCGGCAACGAAGGAACGAGGTAAATCAGTCAAACGAAATTTCTCCACAAGAGTTCTTCGAAGTATATACTTCAATCTCCCCCTTGAATCTGTCAACATAACAAACTTTGCCCATTAACTTGGTCAAATATCTATCTCGGACAGAGATGAGCAATATCCGTCCTCCACGGTAAACATCCTCTGCCATCTCTCCTCTCCCTGTACCAAGTTTCCCGCGAAAAGAGTTCACCAGGTCGTCGAATTTCTCCCGATAGAGCAGAGGCGAAAGAAGGAATGAGGAATTGCTGACAAGGCCGCGAGAGCCGGTGAAATTACCTTGAAGCGTCGTCGAGACGCGGCCAAACGAGATGCTCATCGCCTCGATTACCATTACCGATACCAGTGCCGATGAAAGTACGACATCGAATACGCCGCTTTTCCTCCTCTCCCTTCCACTCGTTAACCCTTTCGCGTCGTTTATTTCCTTTTCAAAGAGATTTCCCCTCTCGAAATCTTCTTCTAAAGCTAGCCTTCTAGTTCTTCTTTAAGATCATACAGAATTACGTTATACATTATACATCGATATTTATTTAGGGAGGAGTGGATTGATGGATGAATGATCGAACAATCTTTATATGATTCTCGGTTTCGGAGTCGGGAAAGGAGAGTTTCAATCGAATTATTGAATTATTGATCCATGGTTGACCGAGTTTTTTTTTTTGCAACTCGAAAAGATTAATCGATATAATGGACAAAAATTTTTTCTGAAGTCTATTGTTCACGGAATGAATTCAGATATGAATTTTGCGGGATAAATAAAAAAAAAATTGCACGCCTCGCCACGAAAATTTGCAAGAAAAGAAGATTCCAAAAATTGGGAAATTTCTTCGCTTCGATATGCTGCGTGTGTACATCTGCCATTAAAATTCGTCTCGCGTTGACACAAATTTCGTGCATTTTACGAGAATATTTCCTTGGACAATTCGTCTCACTTTCGCATTTAGATACTCCAGTGTAAAAAAAAGAAATAAATAAATTCCACGGTGTATCCGTAAAAAGAAAAATTTGCTCACACGTTGGTACAAATTTTCAGACAAATCTGGCACGGATGTGGGAACGACGGCGCAGGCGCTTCGCGACATCGTGGAACGTGTCGTCGAGGAGGCGAAGAGACTGCCGGGCCTCGGAAGTTGCGACGGAAGGATTCAGGAGGAGAGGAACGGTGTGGAGAACAGTTACGAGGAGGTGCTCGCCACCACGATCCTCAACAAGGTTATAGAAAAATATATTCGTTTCCCGGAGGCTGGATCCCTCGGGGAGGGGGCGTCTCTCTCCCTCGAGAGGCTCGGGCTCCGGTTCACGGAATTCGTGGAATTCGCTCGAGAATTCCGAGCGAGAGGATAAAATCGATGAGCGAACGATGGATTTTCTAGGTCATCGAGAAATACCAAAAGAAAGAGGTGGACGGCAATAGCAACGTTCTCCCTGGGAAGATCGTGCCTGCGAAATATGCATCGAGTACGTTTTCCGATCCTGTAACATCGATTGGAATCGGAGAATTTTTCAAAAGTATCGAGAATTAAATTTTATATTGAAAATCCTATCTTTTCAATCAACGTGATCGATTAAATTAAAACCCTTAACCATACAGATATATCTTATCATGCAAATGAGGGGTATGATGCGAATCATACTATTCGAAAAGTAGAAAAAAATGCATAAATAGATAAGAATTAATATTACATCGTTATAATTATAATGTTGATGCATTATAATCGATCGAACTTTGATGAATCTCAAAGATTTTCTCTCGTGTAAATTTTAAAGCGAGAGAGAAGTTTGAACGACA